ATATATATATATATATATATTAAAGAAGCAGGTGAAAACAAGGTAATAGAATAATCCATGTTATCTCATACTTTGAAGGAATTAGCAAGTACATACAAATAAAAGAGAGAATAGTGATGAAAACAAGTTAAATATGTCTGAAACTAATAAAACTATATAAATTTTCTCCGGTTCCTTACCATTATGCATACCTTAATGGGTTAGACATAGGAAAAAAAATGGACAAATAATTACTTAATTACAGTGTCATAAATGTTGCAGTATTCTTTAATTAAAATCAAAATTTACTTTGATATAATATATGTATTATTTGGGTAAAATTTTAATTCTAATAAAAAAAACAATGCTGATAGTCTTACAGAATTATACTTAATAAGTTTTCTGCTTAAAAAAATAACAAAACTGATGTAAGTTAATATGCATGCTTCACTTATGAATATATATTGGAGTTTTATAAAGAAACCTGGATAGTAAAGTATGAGTATGATATTGTTACCATCAGAATTTATGATCCCCTCATCAATAAGCTTGGGGGTGTTGTAAAACAAGGCAAACATAGTTGCTGACATAGGAAAGAACATAGCTCCTTTGATTCCAAATTTAGTGCCAACCTCAAAAGCCCAAGCCATGCCAAAATCTGCAATGATGAAACTGATTCTAATATCCCCATTCAAATGAATATCCTCTATGAGCTTCTGAAGCGCAGAAGGCATGGTGCTCCTAATAGCATCACATAGCTTTCCCCAATCGTGTCTGTCATCATCAGGTCCCAAACCATCGGGGATTGAGACCAGCTTGATTTTTGACTCATCAATGCTATGTTGTTGCTCCACCATGGAACTCACCACTCGTTTGTGGTTGATGTCTGAGTTCACAAAAATGACTTTGCATCCATGCTGGACCAACTTTTCTGAGAGGGTCATCAAGGGGTTCACATGCCCTTGAGCAGGAAATGGTAAAACTAGAACTGTTGGATTAATGCTCATCTTGTGTTTGTCTGGATTTCTATTCATTCTCAGTTTCAACACTCTTTTATTGTCATGGAGGACGAGAAATTATTACATACATATATAGTAAGATATATACTATGTATTTATGGTTATATTCTACCAAATAATTTCAACATTGTCGAATTTAAGTTTTGTAATTTATGAAAAAAAATCATTAACACTTAATTATATATCGGTTTAAAATCTATTAGACATTTTTTAGTACACTACTAAAAAAGTGTCATTTTCCTGCAAACTTTTCTGCAAAAAAATATTCGCATAAATTTTTTGCGAATTTTCCTGCAAAAAAATATTCACAGAAATTTTTTGCGAAAAATAATTTATAGATATTTTTTTTTATAAATTTTGCTACAATTTTAATAATCATGAAAAAAAATTTCATGGTAAAAATTTGCAAAAAATATTGTAAGAACTTTATTTTGTTTCTTGCAGATTTTTTGCAAAAATAAATTTGCAAGTAATATTTACTAAATGGTAGAAAAATTTTGCAGGTAACTTTTTCTGCGAATTTTCCTGCAAATTTTAATCTGCAGGAAAAATAAGAAAAAATAAATTTATAAGTTTAATATTTAAAAAAAAACCTTCAAGTCCCACATCGATTGAAAATAAAACAATTAAAGAGTATATAAGTTGAGGCAACATTTACCTAACAAGTTGAGTTATATGGTTGAGTGTTTGGCTTATAATCTACAATCGTAGAACATAAAAGATTATGTATCACATGTTGGAAGCATGGAAATAAATGTTTCAGATGAATTCATTGTGAGAACATTTGAAAGTTGAAGAATTATTGATAGAATTTATAGTAATATCTTTAATTTTTTTTGTAAAAAATATTTTTGCAGAATTTCTTGCGAAAAAATTCGCAGGAAACTTTCCTCCAATTTTTTTTGCAGGAAACTTTCCTGCAAATTTTTTTTGCAAGAAATTTCGTAGAAAAATTTCCTGCAAATTTTAAAATTCGCAAAAATATGTTATCACGAAGGTACTACCTACAGATAAAATTTTGCAGAAAAATTTGTAGAAACAAGGTTTCCTGCGAATTTTTATGAAATATTCGTAGAAAAAGTCGTATGTAATAAGAGAAATTCTAGTAGTGATATATTTATTATGTTAGAGAGTAAACAATAAATAAATACCTTAATTCTGATTTTTAAAATTAATTTGATGTCATTTTTAATCATCTCATTCCATTTGTTTTTTTTCACTCCCAATCAAAACAATAATAAAACAGATTTTAATAATATTTCACTTAAATTATTAGACATTATTTTATGTTTTTTTAACGGTTATGTTTTTGTTGTCTTTGTTTTAATAATATTTTATATTAATAAATAAAATATTATGAGATAGTATTTAATAATTTTTTAATAAAATTAAAATTTGAATATAAGAATTAAAATAAATATTTTTTAAAATTAAAAAAATTAAAAATATTGATTTTAAATTTGAAAGACTAAAGAAGTTATTTTAAATTTAAAATATTAAAAATATATTTAAATTTTATTAAAAAATAATATGATTATCTCAAATAATACTTGTATTATATATAATATTTTATTTGTATGTGATATATGTAAAAAAAATTATAAAATTTAAAACATGTTACATATCTTAAAATGATTATTAAATAAATGACTTTAAATTTTAAAAGAGTATTAAAAAAATATTGTTCAAACAATTAAAATACTTTATTTTATTTGGTGTAAAAATATATATTTAAATTAATTTTAATTTAATTTTTGTACATGTTATTTATTCTTTTTTAATTTTAAATTTTTATTTTCATCAAAATAAAAAAGTAATTTTCATAAAATTATTAATAGACACCAATATAATACTAGAAAATAAAGAACATACTATACTGTATTATAACACCAGTATAATTTGAAACATACTTCACAACACCAATAATAGAAGAAGAAAAAATGAGCAGCAACAAAAATATAATAGAGTTAAAAAAATATAAAATAATGTCGAATACTTTAAGTGAAATATTGTTAAATCTGTTTCATTATTGTTTTGATTGAAAGTGAAAAAAGTAAATGGAAGGACATGGTTAAAAATGACATCAAATTAGTTTTTAAAAAATCAAAATTAATGCTATTTATTATTGAATACTTTCTCACATAATAAATATACTAAAAATTAACATTGGATAATAATTTTAATAATTGTTAAAGTGTGCCTCAGGACACACGTTAGAAAAATCGATTATATATTATGAAGATATGTGTTGCAAGAGTGATACTGGTAGTTAAATTCTTTCACTCCTACTAACTACGACTTGAGATCAAATTTGGATTTTGTTATGCTTTATATCTTTCTATGTGGCATAACGTTAAAAATGAGATAAATGATTTGTAATCTCACTGAAAATTTTGAAAGAAGTTAATGGTCTATTCTGATTTTACATATACTTGTTTCTTATCTTAATTCAAACTTATTTGTTACAAAAAAAAATTATAAAGAGATATAAAGTTGAGGACCATTTTTTGGAAAAAAAAAATCACACACAATGAAGATCAAAACTATAGACAAACACAAAAGCATAAATAGAAGACATGTATTTAATATAGTGCATCCTCTTTATATGAGATGAAATGTTTCATACATGATATTCATTATTGATTTTTCATTCATTAATCTGCACATATATGCATTAATATTAATGATTGAAATTACAAGAAAATTGTCATATAATGACATGTACTTTATAGTGACATAAAAATTGTCACTATAAATTATTTTTACTTATATAATAAATATAATATATGTTGATATATTATTAAAATGTGTGAATAGACTATATTGACACATAAAATATAATATTAAATTTTATTTAAAATCAACACTAAAATTGTGTGTAACTATATATAAAATAGTTATATATTTATAT